GTTTGAATTCTGGACTCTTAGCTGGCTCCTTAGCTGTGTGGCCAAGATCACATGGCTTAAATCTGTGATCCTCAGTTTCCTCCTCTATTAATTGGGGATGCTTGTGCCTGTCTTTGATCAAACATACATTGGTTATATGCATTGCATGCAGTGGAATCTCAGTAAGTGTAATACAACACACACACACACAGTGAAAGAAGAGGAAGGCATAATAGCCTTTTAGAGCTGGGGGAGAGAGAGAGAACAGACGAAAGAGCTCTACGGTAGTTGATAGCAGTAGCTGAATTTGTGAAGAGTCTTAATCTTAGATTAAGACTTTCCCACTTGGGAAGGACCAGAGGCACTCTACTTATTTGGACATGGCGGTCTTGGCTGGTTGATCTGCAGCACAGAAAAGGGGGTTTGCCACCCCGTGATTGATAGAAATACGATGTTTTAAACATTTATGGCACAAACCTTACAACAATAAAGGGAAGCCAATAAAAGCAAAAGTTCCCTTTGGTTCTGCCATTCCAGTCTATAAATCACGTTCGTTTTAAATGTGCTGTCTTCTAGCTCTTGACAATTTAAGATGTATCCTTTTTTAGTTCTGCTTTTCCCATTTAGCATAAACATTCTCATTTGCAACCTGGACTATAAAATTATTGTTTCCCAAGATTATGTAACATTCCATCCAATTGTTCTATCTTAATTTAAGTTATATGTCAATTTTGGACATTTAATTTGTTTTGGATTTGTGATTTCTTTGCATACTGAAGTATTTTCACTTAAGACACTCTCAGAAAGCTTATTCCAAAGGTGAGAGGGGACTTGCTCTGAATGGTTTTCTAAAAGCCTCTACCAGTTTGGGTTGTTACTGATGATACAGAAATGTGTCTTGTTTCAACCTGCTTAATTATGGGATTTATCTTTTTTTTTTTTTCTGGCTAATAGGCTCCTTGGTTTTCAGATTTGCATTCCTTTGATCCCTCTCAGGGATAGAACATTTCTCTCTGTTTATTTACTAATTGTCCTTTTCACAATTAGCAAATGAGAATCTTGATGTTTGTAATCTATGTATATGAGCTCTTTTTGTGTTCTAGATAGTAATCATTTTCTGAAGTGTATTTGCTGCAGATATTTCCCCAGTCCAGTTTTCTTTGATTTCAATGATAATACTTTTTGTTGTATCAAAGTTCGAGTTTTTATGTGATCAGCGTTCCCACTTGGGGTTCTCTGTTCTTCATGGTTGGTCTCTGTTGTGCAGGGAGCCCTGCGCAGGGGGTGGTGGGTGGAAACGGGTTCTCAGGTTTGAATTCTCTTCCACTTTGGAACTACAGACAGGATGTTGTGCCGCCCTCCCTGGGGTGCCTTTACCCTGGAGATGGCTTCTTCGCAAGATACTGGGAACGGTTCCCTAGGTCTTGAATTTGGGGTAAATCAGGCTTCAAGATCTGAACTTGGCTAGTGGCTTGGCCAGACTGGGTGGCTTGGCATGTGACACGCCTCTTATGTGACATCTTCACACGACCTCTTGTTCTGCTCCAATCCCTCTTCTCTCTGAAGCCAAAATGAACATGACTGAGTATAAAACCTCTGTTTCTATCTCTGTTTTCCCTGCCCTCTCCCCTGAATTTTTAGGGTCCTCAGGATGAGAAGTCCAGAATCCTTATCCTTGCTGCCCTGCTTTTGGGGACATAGCTCATCACACTATTGTCACTCATGTTCCCCTGTATTTGCTTCACCCCACTCACTGGGTATTTCCTCCATAAAAGGGCCAGATTCTCCTTCATTCCAACTTTTAGACATGCTGTGTCCCCTTTTTTAAAAAACCTAGCTCCTCCTGCTCTTGTCTGGCTAACTTTCGCTCATTATTAAAACCTCACCTTGGAATCCCTTCTTTGGGGAGCCTTTGCCGTAGGCTATTTTCAACCTATTGTAGACTCCCAAAGACCCTTGTTCTGTCCCTTTTGTAACACTCTGTGTTACAGAGTGAGTCTGCCCAAGACTCAAGGTCTCTTCCTGCCACCCATCCTTACCATTTGGCTTACATGAAGCCTGCAACAAGTACAGGCATTTCCCCTGCAACATGAATTTGGGTTACAGATTGGATGTGATCCTCTCTAGTTAGCCTCACTTGTATCATTGTAGCCACATGACATGTAGGGGACCTCAGTGTAGGAACAAGCAGCGATAGCTGTTTGAGTGGCTTTGTATACCATGACAATTGGTGAGAAAAGTGATAAAAATATGTGAGAAGGCTGTGCCAAGGAGAGAGGATAAAGAAAGGTCCTACGAGGAATTTTCTGGAATAAAAGCTCCATGTAATAAAATGCTGAATTTGCTCAGTTTTAAGTTTGATAGTATTACACATAAAGCCACACTAACGCTACAACTATTGAAGTTCAAGACATGAAAAGTGGGTTTGTTTGTTTGTTTGTTTGGTTTTTTTTTTGGCTTTCTTCCGGTACCGGGAATCGAACTCACGACCTCGCGCTTGCCAGGAAGGCGCTTTGCCGCTGAGCTAAATCCCCAGCCCCAGCTTTGTTTTTTGAATGTCTAAAACTGTCTGTGTTGAAAATATTCCCATTGAATGTGAGCACATGATGATTCTTAGAAGCACAGCTCCTGGGTGGGATGAAGGAAGGAATCTGAGGGTCATGTGTGGAGCATCTGCCCTCTGCTTTGAACAGAGTCCCTTATGCTCTCTTGGGACCCATCTTACCAATTCAGGTCAAAGTTCCTGGTGAGAAACTTACCCTGAGGAGCTCATTTTATCAGGGAGAGAGAGTCCTTCTGGATTCTGAGTTGGGTGACTCTGGTTTGGGTAAACTACCACATGAGAGGGGAGCCTTGTGATGGGAATGGGGAACCCTGAAATCTGCCCTGCATAGCCCTGCTCAACAAGCATGACGCTGACGGGGTAGGAAGGCATTTGAGCTCCCTGAGGTGACAATCAAGGGGCCAGTCACTCCTCTGTCTTGCATAGGCACTTGTCTCAGAGTTACCTTGGGCAGGGGAAGATGCTTTTGACGATAAAGGAGGTCCTTCTGTGATAGTTGGTGTGAAGGACCATATATCAGAGGCTCAGACAGGTGTGCAGATGGGAGCCCAACATTTACCAGCTAAGACCCTGGCCCTTTTGTCCCCTGTAGTGTACCATAGAAAGTGCTCCCAAAGCCCTTCTCCCTTGCTCTGCTCTGCCAGGTTCCAAGCCTGGACAAAAAGTACTATGGATGAATTTGACTTTGATTACTTTTCTTTTTTCTGGATTCTCATCTCCAGTTCACCCCAGAACTTCCTGGGTCACCGCAACCCCATCATGAAGTGTGACCCCATGTGTGGGTGGTCCTTTTGGGGAGATATCCTTTATAGAAGAAGCTGGGAAAAAATATTTTCCCCAGGCTGCTGCCTTTGTGGTTTCTGAGCTGGTATTTTTGAGAACACAGCCATTTGGCTTGGTTTATTTTCTTCTTTTATAAGTGGTCATAGGCCCAGAAGACAAGTTTATCGGTTATTGTACTGACAGCAAAGATGAGCCGGTTATTTGTTCAATCTCTTTTCCTAAAACCTTGCTTTCTATTGCGTTTAAAGGAAATCTGGTAAAAGCATCAAAGTCCAAATTTTGGTGCTTTCCTTTGGCTTCTCTGTTCTCGTTAAGCCTCTGTAACCCTTTGTACCTTTCTCTACAATGCAGAAGGAAGAAGTTGTATTTTTTCCCATCTCAGCATCATCCAGAAGCACAGTACTATTTTAACTAGTTGAAGAAACAGGTACAAAAGGAGAAAGACACTTTTTATTTGCTCCTAGCAAGCTATAGATCTCTCTCAGTCATCCTGGACATTAGCATAGGTGAACGATGACAAGGGTGGAGGATCACAAGTTGGAGATCAGCAGTCGGAGCCCATCTTAAAAAAACAAAACAAACAAAAGCAAAAACAAAATAAAACAAGGCTGAGGATGTAGCTCAGTGTGCAGGCCCTGGGTTTGATGCCCAGTACTGAGAAGGAGAAGAAGGAGGAGCTGTTGAAGTTGTTATTACTGAAGTTGTTGTTGTTGAAGTTGTTGTTTCTGAATGTGACCTTGAAACAAGAGTCTCACCAGTAGCTTATGAGCCTTCTTCAGACAAAACACTGGGATTCACAGTTCACATCATCTTGAAGCCCTGGTGGGAGGGCTGTTCGTCTATGAAAATGAACAAACACTAACTGTTTGCTATCTTGCTGTACAGAAAACATTTGGTGACCTGACTAATCTCAAAGTTACTGTCTCTAAGTGGTGCACTTAATTTAACTCATTGCCCTGAAGCCTCAGGAAATGATTTCCTTAAAAATCAAAGAAAAAAAAAAGAACTTTGTTCATTTCAAATATTTATAGTCTTCAAAGACATCACTGAGATGCATGTCCTACGTTGCCTGTTTCTCTTATGGGACAAGTCAGATCTCCCCATGTCCTTCGATTGTGTTTTGCAGTCTGAGCCTCTGATTTGGTAACTGCAGCTTTAATAACCACATTTCTCCAGACCACGTGCAGTGGCTAGTGTGTCATGGGTCCCCTGGGCTGACGATGACACAGCACAGGGCCTTGGATACATTGTTTCAGTGGATCATCATAATGACTCCTTGAGTACAGAGTGTCTTCCTCAGTCTCTAAAAGAGAGAACAGAACCTAACTAAGGGTTCTGAGACTGCTGGACTAGGTTCCAATGGCCAGATGGTCAGTGCAAGAGCCCTGGTTTTTCTGTCTTGTGGTTCTCCCTTCCCCATCCCCTGGACAGCTAACCCAAGGCGTTATGCAGTTGGGTCTCTAAATTCATAAACAAACAATCCCCTCCAAAAGAAACATGTCTTTGGTGTATGGAGTTGGCCCCACAGAGCGATTTTGAGATGCAGCTGGAAAAATGAAGAATTGCAAGGGGTCCAGCTCCTTGAATATAAGCAATCTGTAGTTACCCCTTGAACTATTTCTCAATAAAATTAGACGTTAGATGTCTCTGGAGTGCTTAAGCCTAAACTTGTTGCCTTGGTGGCGGGAAAGTGATTTCCTTTGGCAGCCACTGCACCTTTAAGGTTGAGCTTCTTAGAGCTGTAGTTCTTTAATGTACCCATGTCAGCAAGGTTGAAAATGTCAGAAAACCAAATTGATCTTGTATATGGAATCTTGAAATCTGATGCCATCTCCTCTGAGAAGTCCTTTGCTGTGTGGATGGGAAGACATAGTCAGATCAATTCCCACATGTAGGTCCTTCCTGTCTTTCTCGTGGATGTTACAGAAAGAGGGAGGGGAAGCTATCCAGCCACCTGCAAAATCAGCCTTCTGCCTGCTGGGCCAGTGGGAGCCACTGTAAGCTGTTTGCATCTGCACAGAGCATGAATTGCTTCTATGATAATTAACTGTCTCCTGTCCTAGAACACCTAACGATGGGTCTTTTAGTGAAAACACTCTCCATCGCTTGATGCCAGAGCCTGTGTAGTAACTGAAGCCTCTTCTTGCCTTGCAAAAGTAATCTGATAGCAGGTCACCAGCTGTTATTGCAGACATACTTAGAGTCTGCTTCATTTTTAATCTTGAATGAAGCCTTTATAACTGAAAACCTCATTAGAGGGACTGCAAATGAGACAAAGGTGGTCTCCCCCCTTAGGCGTCCGCCTTCAATCTCTTCACAGCTTTGTGTCCAGGATTCGAGGAGCTACAGCCTGGCGGGGAGTTTTGCTTGGTGTCGGAGTAGCTAAGAATGTTTCTCTCTAACAGGTCACAGAACAGAAAGTGCTGGTGGACATCTCTTCTTGCCCCAAGATCTTCGCTGGAAGTCCTCCAGACTTGGTGTCTTAATGAACTCGCCAGGAGGCATAATGTGTCACCATTTTATTGTGGGCCACCCTAAAGGATGACACCCAGCTTCCGAGACCTCCTGTTGGACATCGTCCCCTGAGAGCCAATGCTTTTGCTCTCTCCCATTGTCCGGAGTCTGTCTCCAGATGGTTTTAAGGTGGTGCAGGCTTAGTCATTCATGGCCCGGACCCTGTTGAATGTTCTGCTTGATCAGCTTCTAGCCGCTCACCTTTTGTCACTTGCTGAACAGCACTTCCTTCTTGAGCTCTCAGGAAGTCCTTGCACCAACCTGCTAGAAGCAAGGCACCAATCCATTCTTTCCATCTTCGTGGCTGCCCACAGCCATATCCTGGGGTGACCTGGAGTAGAGGCACCAGAGGATAAATTCATCCTGCACAGACTTGTTTCTGCTAGTTCTAGCCTGTCTCTCGCCCCAGCTCCAGCTTTTAAATATGCCAGTGATTGGTTTTGTGTAGGAATGTGTGGATTGTTGGATTGGAAGAATTCTCTCCCTGGATTTCTAGTGTTTACATAAGCAGATATTTAAAAAATGTTCTATCCCTGATTTAAATAGCAGGGCTTATTTTTAAAAAAAAGTTATGGGTGCCTGAAGGCGTACAGCATCAAAGCACAAGTTTTGTCTTTTTCTTCCTTACAAGTTGTAAGGGAACTCAAAGGTGTATAGTAATGTTTTGCCAGGAAAGGGTCAAAACAGAAAGTTTGTAACAGAGATAAACTAGAATAGAACAAGTGTGAAGAGAGTCTGACAATGTATGCCCCTGGTTGGGAGTTCAGCCCGCGCAATGTTATGTGGAACAATAGGAATGGAAGAGAGATTTCAGTAACATTTTGTTCTCTGTCAAAAACCTTCTGAAATATAAATCTGCTGTGTGTTGGAGAATGGAGACAGGAACTGATTCGAGCTGAATGTCTTTCATTTAACTAGAGTATCCCACAGAAAGCGGTTCTTGTTCTGACAATCATATTTTTGCTTTCTGTGACCTAACGAAAATTGGATTCCTATTTACGTATCTTGTAGGACTGTATCATAGACAAAGACACAGATCAAATCCCATCACAGTGGCTAGTGTTACGGCAAGTAGAAATATTTCTAAATGAAACACAAACATTTGTAAGCCACAGCCAGAGTGTGCAGTAATAATACCAAGTTGGTAATATGAAGCCATTTGCCACTATAAATAATTTAGTTGTAGATGTGCCTTTTTAAAAAGCTGTGTTTTATTTTAATTCTAGTCTCTTGCCGACGTGCACACACCCATACACATACCTCACCTATTTGCATAATAGAGGAGGACTAGGAATATATATATAATCATAGAAGTCAGCTTTATTTTGGTCTCTCTAGAACAGATTATCTTTTTTTTTTTCTTCTCCTCATGATGACTTCGGTAATTGCCTCCAATTGCTGAATTTCGCTAATTGCCCACAAATATGAACGTCTTTTTCTTGGAGGGTCTGGCCACGTCAACCAACCCAACCAAAAGCGAGTAGCCAGTATTAGTGGTGTAAGCATCTGAGCTTTAAAATTAAGGGCTCCTGGCAAGGGATGTCCTGATTTGATTCTCCATTCTGCACTACCACAGGAGAAAGTAGGTGCCTTTTTTTTTTTTTTTTGGTTTTATATCTCTTGATCAAAGCAGGGCATGATGGTGCATGCCTGTAATTCCAGCTCCCTGGGAGGACTGCAAGTTCAAGGCCGCCTGGGCAGTTTAGTAAGAGCCCATCTTAAAAAAGGGAGGTGGGTGGAGATGAAATGTGTCCCTCCCTGGGTTCAGTTCTCAGTACTGCAAACAAATAACACTCCAGATCCTTCATTCTGATATTGATCCTGGCCTCAAGAGTCCAGAATCAATGACTTAGGTCATAATTTTGAGCATTAACTATTTTTTGAGTCAGAAAGCCTTTCTTCTTAAGCCTAGAAGAGGACAACTATTTCTTTTTACTTTTATTAACTCATGTTAATTGTGCACATTTGTGGGTTTCGCTTGGATATTTCCATACGTGCATATATCCTGCCTTGGTCAGGCCCACCTTCCCCTGGCCCTGGAACCAGAGGACATCATGTTAAATCAAGTAAGACAGACACAGAAAGCCAGGCATCATGTGTTTTCTTTCACATATAGAAAGCAGGGGAAAAAGAGATCTGAAAGTAGTAAAGGAACTATTAGGGAATAGGAAGCATTAACTATTACTCCTGAAATACTTCGATATGATTCAGTAGACTGAGGTTTTCCAGATACATTACTGACTAAAATACAGCATATTCACTTTTTTTAAAAAAAAAAATGGGGAGTTTTCACTATGTTGTCCAAGCTAGTTTCAAACTCCTGGACTCAAGTGATCCTCCTGCCTCAGCCTCCCAAACAGCTGGGAGTACAGGTGCATACCACCATGGGTGGCAATAAATACAGTGAGCTATCTTAAAATTACAACATTGATGATCAAGAGGAAGATCCTCTAGGAATAAAGGCCCGTTAGGTTTTAACCTTTTTCTATCTTCAGAATTCTTGTCTGCCTGCCTTCTATTTTATTTCCTCTCTCTGTTTATACTAATTTGTACTTGTGTTTATTGTTTTCTTACTTAAAAACTACTTGAAAAATTTCACAGCCCTTACAAAAATAAAAGTCCCAGCCTATTTGTTCTTCTTACCTCGGCCGTCTTTCCTCATTGCTAGATGGCTGCTTCTCTTTCTACTTCTCTTCTGGGATTTCATTGCTCAGCAATTCCCGCGTGTGATTCTGGATATTATGGTTTGAGCTTCCTGACCAACTTCTCTTTGCAGCTGAGTCCATTTCCTGTGCTAAAAGTTGTTGGCATCTTCCATTCACCACTCCTACTCAAAACTGAAACTTGTTGCACTCAGATCAGTCCTTAAACACCATTACTGTCCTCCTCTCTATTTTTCACTCCATTGCTCTTTCCCAGTGATGAAAACCTACTGGTCATTAACAACTTCATTTTGATGTCACTTACTAAAGACCTCTTGGATTTTTCTACTCTCCTGATACACTTCCCAGCTTCAAGCTACAACTAGCGTCCACAGGTCTTTGACAAATTAGTTGTCCCTACACGTGGTGTACAATGTTACACTCACTGTTTAAAAATAATTAAGCTTCTCTCTGCGTTCTTTGGTGTGGGTCAAGAACTTTACTTGCTTTGCCGTCCAACACAGAAGTTAATCACAAACGGGTCCTCTAAACCAGATAATTAAAAATAGAGCAAACTTTCTGAACTAGGCAGTTGGCACAAAAGTCCTCACTTCCATCTGTGCATGGTTAGGAAAATATTTCATGATATTTAAATAGCATTGGCTTTGCTCTCTTGTGTGAGTATGTCTGTGAGTCTGTGTGTAATTCATTGCTCTGAAGGTTTATTTGACGGTTAGCTAATCTTTTTTTTTTTTTTTTTTTTAAAGTCACAGCAAGGAAGCAGGAAAGCAAACCCAGGTGTTTTGTGCCTGCTTTCTTTATTTCTAGCTTCTGTGAAGGAACACTGGTCCCACTCTTGCTTTTCTCCTTAACTCAGAGTTTTCCTCCTACACGGGGCTCAGAAAATGAAAGAGCAAACGTTTTGACTTTCAAATCTTTGTGTCTTGATTCTCCACGTCCAAGTTACCTTGGCTAATGGCTTCTGAGGAGCTGATCTCATAGACACAAAATGCTGATGAATCTGTTTTGATTTGCACTGTGGCAGATTAGGATTTTTGCTCTCTGGAAAGGGGATTGATACACAGCCGACTCATAAACACTTTGTGACTTAAGCACAGGACGTGAGTGACTGGTTTGGAGGAGAATTTAATCCTTCAGCTTGGACTTTCCTTTGTTCTTATAAGTAATCAGTATCTCCTAAAATGTATTCACCAGGTCTGTGGCTGTGATAGGATCTTAAAAGTACATTTTCTGTTTATAAGGTTTAAATTGCTAAATAATATAAAGGTTATACCCTTCTGGTATTTTTCAGTTGCAATGATCTCTTTATTCCTAGAAAACTTATTTTAAGGTTGGTTCCTTTTTCCCAGGAGAGGTGTTGTATTAAATAACGCTAATGCCCAGTAAATATACTGAAGATTAGGAATTATTTTTTTAAAAATGTCTTTCACTCCTCTAGCTCTGAAGTGTGTTATGTTTCTCAGAGTTCTCAGTTGGCTTATGTTTCTGAAAACTAGAGGGTAGGAAGAGTCCTAATACTATGGTAATAGAATTAAACACTGAAATCAAAAACAGAGAGTTGATCACGGTCCTATTAATTAAAATTAAGAAAAGAGAAATAGCTTCAATCAAGTCCATTAACATAGTGGCAAATTTTTGTGTTTAGCTCTCCATGCTAGTTCAATGATTTAGTCAGTTTGTCATTCACAAAGTTTAAAATCAGAAGGGACATCTTTTTGTCCAACTTGCTTGTTTTACATTTCAGTTAATTCTGTCCATTTCTGTGTACAAGGCAGTAGGCTAAGAGGGAGCAATAAAATTGAATAAGTTGTGGCTCGTGGCTTCCAACAAATTAATCTTTGATTTCCTTTTCTGTGGTATTTGAGGGACAGCTTTTAACAAGGCATAAGTGAATTTTGCTAATTGTTATTCTTGGACAATGTAAGAAATTCGGGATGAATGTATTTTGTGAGTTCTGGGGAATGATTGATGTCTTTGTACTTTAGGGTCCTGCTGAATTGTAGACCACCCCAAGACAGAATTCTGGTCTTCTCTTCTACAAGACTACCAGCACTGCTAATATTAAAGAGATTCCCCCCAAAAGTTCCTGGTATTCAAGTTCTTTACATTCTTACTGTGGAACCATTACACTGTTTCTTCCGTTTTATTTGGGTACCTCTGACACTGACATTTGGAATTTCAATTACAAGAGCTGATTTTCATTATTGATTTTTTTTTTTGTTTTGTTTTTCTCCGGTACCGGGAACTGAACTCACGACCTTGCTCTTGCCAGGCAGGCGCTTTGCCGCTGAGCTAAATCCCCAGCCCTCATTATTGATTTTCTTATCCAAGAAGTCATTGTTAGCAAATAGTATTTACTAGATTTGTGATGAAAACACAACATACAGTGTACATATTCAAGAAGGTCACAGTGCAGAGAACCTAGTCTTTTAATAATGATGATGCCCGGCTGACATACTGGGGATGAAGAATGTGTCAGTCACTGTATAATCACTTAATGCTCACAGTCAACCAATAGGTCTTTGTTATCTACACCTCAAAGATAAGGAACTCGGTTAGTAGTTCGCTCAAGGTCACAGAGGTGGTGAATGGTAGGATGGGGATTTAGCTCCTGCCATTTGAACCTCAGCCCTTAGATTCCTAATGAATATAATTTATTGTTTACCAC